GCCACGTGCTTGTATTTCTAGTAACGGAAACTATCACGTTTTGAATTCAACCGAGTAACGCGATCAATACTGTTCAAATCCATCTCGAAAACTGTTTAGAGTAGATACATCGATATACTGTCCATATATTTTTCGCATGCTCAATAGAAATATACTCCCTTCCCTGACTTGAGAGTAATTTTTTGTTGTGCTATTGTTGGCAGGCTAAGAAGTACAGTAAACATAGCAGCATTCAGAGTGAACAACTCCATAATTTTTTGTATGTCCTGTACATATTATTACATTCTTTTAAATATTCACTTGTCAAATCTGATGGGACATCATTACAAACTAAAATTCTCCATCCGTTTCAGAAGTCATTCGATTCCGGTGGAAAATGTAGTCAGTGATCCGAATGCACATTGCGCCGTCATTCGCAGTTCATTGCATCCTACAGCATTCAGAATGATCGGTTCCAAGCACAAAATTGTGCATCCCTGCGCGCCGAGGAATGCATTGTGTCGGCCTAGGCTCGGGACCTGATCGAGCTGAGCTTGTTCAGACTCCATAAAGGTAACACTATGGAGTCAAAAAGTATGGAGCGTACGATCCAGTAAATGTGTGCAACTGCATCGGTGATCAAGTAAATGACCCATAATTCCTTCCTAACGTGAACCTTGCGGTCGAGTGCGACCTTTGACGTGCAGAATTAGTAAATTGACTGCGCCACGTTAATGCGTCCCGACTTCCGAGTACAGTACTCGAGCTCCAAATTTCTACACCCCTCCCTACCCTTCCTTCTGTCCACCGTACCTGTTATTGCGGCTACTATGGTCAATGTTTACACGGTTTTCTGTACCACATTGTCCAAACTGCGTACGCCAGACTCCATGTACTCTGTCGCGTGCGTGCACAAAAAATCAAAAGTCCGTCTTTCTGATGACTTTCTGCTCCCGGTCTCGTGTCGGTAGCCATCGAAATCGCCACCGGCTTGGACGAAAGGCTTCACCAGACTTCTCGGGTGATTCTTCAAGAGAAGGAAGTTTTGTGCGACTGACACCTGGACGCCCTGAAAGCTTTGGCACCGGCAACGAAAGTACAGAGACTTACTTGGATTTTCCCAATTATTTGGTGTTTGATTAGTGGACCTGCTGGGTATCGTGTGCGTCGTCAAGCCATATCCGGCCCTTCGGACCCTGTGAAGCCGTGAAGAATTCCGACAAGAATGAGCATGGCTCCAGTCACAGCCAATACCGACGTCGAAGATATTACCGGAAGATTGTTTCCTTGACCTGAGATGTGTCATTGGAGGCTGACCGATGCCGTCGATGTATTCACGGGCAACGGACACGTCTCCAACAGCGGATGGTCCATGCGTCCGTCCGCCGGATGTCTCCGACAGGCCGTAGACGGCAAAGGATCGGACAACACCTTGATATTTTCCACATGCACAGTTTACATTTTTAATTGGTCCGAAAATTTTCTCACAAAATAAACCATCTTTTTCTGGTTTATGTGGTTTATAGTTTTAATAGGCGGAGGGGCAGTTGGGATTTCGCGGGCAGTTGGGTCGCGGCGAGGACGGAGACGAATCGCGACGAGAACGGAACCTGCGCCGAAGATCACCTCGTCACTGCCTTCGCCATCGTTTCCTTCCAACAACGCTTCCCGCAAAGGGATGGCGGTTGCGGTGGACGAGCACTTTCCTGGAATATCTTCCGCCGTATGCGTTCCGTCCGGCAGCTCCATACGTCTGCGTACTCGTTCGAGATACGCGTACGGGAGGCACATTTTACACTTTATATCATTTCTGTGAAAATCGAAGTACCGAAAACATTTTCCACGTCGACTGAAGAGGTGGCAGCGGAATGTCGCAGTACGGCCGAACTTGTTTACAGGAACGAGTGAAGAGCTACTTCGATTTTTGATCTGGTGTTTAATTCGAAGTCGCAGCTGCAAGCAGTTTGGTAATTGGATTCAAATGTAACAATATCGTAGCCGGGAGTTTCATGTTAGCCCTAAAGAATTATATCTTAATGCGATTTACAATTCTACTGACTTTACGTGCAATTGTAGGCACGTTTGGGAAAAAACATTTCATATAAACCCACAAATATGGAGGTTTGTTGATTTTAGCGATTTCTTCATAAAAGTTTGAGTGCTGTTGCTTCCGCATCGTTTTTTCTGAAAATATTGCCGTGATCCATGATCACTTTCCGGTTTAAGGACTCGATTTTGCGTCAACTGATTGGTACTATGGCAACCTTTGGCTGGAGATTTGGGCTATACTCCTTATTGTGCGACCTTGCTTGATTGTGCACAATAAATAGTTTGGGAGCAAACTCTTGTGGGAACAAAGTCACCATTTATCACTTCATAATCCATATTTCACAGAACTATTTGTATTTGACTTCTAAATTTATGTATAAATATGACGACTTATTAGAAGACTTGAATTCTGAAGTAATGTATACTTCAGTTGAGAAGGCATTCCTAGGTGAAGAATATCGCTCATGAGCTAATCATTAGCTTCATATTTACATTCTCTCTGTGAACTTTTGAAAGAAATCTTTTATATGGATAAAGATCCAGATCTTTCATAATTAAGCAATAATTTTGCATCACCTGACAACCTGAGCAGGCCGTTCATTTGACAACCTGAGTAACAGTCAATTACAATCCTCCATGGAAAAAAACTATGAATGTGCATGGTTTTCAATTAGATCTTCGAAGCTAATTTTTATTCATCATACTGTAGATAATGCGTGGGCTTAGTTACTTAAATTTGAAAATTCAAGAAAAGATAGTACTACATAATCATATCTGATACTTGAAAAATCGGAAAATCCTGACAATTGTGTCCGCTAACCAACGTGTAGTACTTCAACAAATTTTTTCAACATGCAATATTTCCCCTACAACAGTTTATACCATCAATTTCTTCCGATGAATGAGATCCCTCTCAATGAAGCTAAATCTAACATCCATGCATAAGAATACATGAAAACATTGTTATCATATTGCATATCTATTGTGAAATGTAATTATGATGTAAATATTTTGTGAAACAAAACCTAATTTATTAAACAGGCATGATTTTTTTTAAACCATTTTTTGAAATTAATTAAATTTTGTTAAATTTTTTTTATCTTCATGAAATTTCAAAAATCAACACCACAAGAAACTGCATTCTAAAGCAAAGTCACCAAAGTACCTAAAGTATGTGATTTATCCTAGTGATACTAAGTGCAAGATCATTGTAATGTAGAAACTTTGATAATTGTTGAAAGATAGTCAAACTAAACAAAATCTATCATAATCTGAGTTTATTCCTTACAATTTATCTTCATGTTTTTTTCCCTATTTTTCCCGTTTATTTATAAAAATAAATATTTATTATATATTAAAAACAAAAATTATATCAATATCACATAATTCTTCATTTTTGAAAGATATATTGCACTATAATATATATCTTACATTTAAAAAAAAAAACATCATGAGCAATATATGTGTAATAGAATATGTTACTTCATCATACCAAATTTGCTTAATATTTTGATATTTGTGATTCTGATTGTAATTTGAAGTGTATTTTTTATTAAAATATATTTCAAATTAATCAAATATAATTATCTCAAATATAATAAAGCGTTGATATAAATGTAAGAGTAAACGTGAATGACATCATTTTGTGTATGCATCAACTGTGAAAAGGTCAATGTCTGTCAAGTATATATCATTCAAATTCTCAAATGTTAGGTATCATAAAAGTTCAAATGAATGTTTGGTTCATCATTTAAACGATACTAAATTTTGTCCTGGAGGGAAACTCAAAGTTTCTTAGAAGTTTTTTCTATTGTCGAAGGGTCACATGAACAAAAAATATGGAATCTTCACGCCTTCAATGATCAATGATGGGCTGAGGTTCTTACAAATGTGAACTCCATCCAAATCTCCACTCGGAATCGTTCGCTTGCTTCCCTCCGTGAAGTTCAGTCATTCGAATGATAACATGTGGATGATGTACAAATGCCAAAACTTTGAATATTCATTTGATACACCAGAATTTAGTTTGTCGATGGCAAGCGATGTAAGAGTTTTCATTCCATGTTGGTCATAGTCTGATTTACGAGATGCAATTCTCTCTGGTGTTTTTGTTGTTCAACCTGTGAGGATTCCCGACCTACTCTGTCGTACCATATCCACTCATGATAGTTTTCCAAAATCACAAAAGTCAACTAGCTTCATCGAGCAATGATGACATTCGAGAAAGGAAAAGTTGCCAATTTGTCAGTCTTACTCTTTCACAAAGCGCGTGATCTATTCTGAATGCTGAAGAACAAATGATACTTTACTACGTACAGCTCACGGGGATGCATGAGGAGGCGAAATCTTAATTCGATCGAAAATTCTCTTACACCATGGTTAGCAGAGAGAATTTCTCTTACACTAAGCGCCAAAGGCACTGAAACCGAGAACCCGAGTTGCAGATAAAACCCTATTCTAGTCGATTCGCAAGCCTGGGCTACGGGATCCCAATTTCAACAAAGAGTTTTAGATAAGTCACAAGGTAGGATAAATAAAAGAGAAAAAAATCTTTTGTACTGAGGTACAAGCATGTGCAAGAATCTTTCATCGTATATGATGTGTTTATCACTTTCTTTCATGATTTTAGTATTTCGTTTTCTTTGTATTCCAAAAAAACACAAATAATTACTATGCGTATGAAGGTTATTATGATAGATTTGCCAATAATGAATATACATAATTTATATATATTTTTTATCTTATACCCCACTGTTATGCCATGTTTTTTATACTAATCGGAATTAGTTCTTGGTTCTCCTGTGATTTTCTCAAAAAACCTGTAACATTAGAGAACAATATCTCACACCTTTTTTATCTCAATTTGGACCAATTTTCGTTTCTAACACACTCCAACCCTAACTACATAAGAAAAGATCTTCCCGTCCTTTTCCTTCTATACTTGCTTGACATTTCAATCTTTTGTTGTCTAGAAAAGATTGAGAACGAGCGCATCGTACAGACTGGGAGGAAAGTACGAGACCGAGTCAATGGAGCACAATTCATCTGATGACGACTGCGGTCTTGCTTGTTGGGGAGACAGATAGGCCAGGAGCAAACAAGCAACTTTGGACCGGACACGAGTACACCTCTGTCCTGTGCTAGCCATGGGACGGGCACCATCGATTCGTGAGTGCGAATTTGGAGAAGAAACGGAAATCGCATTTTCACCTGGCATGGAATCCCGTAGACCAAGATCTTCCGCACGCAAGTCCCTTCGGATCACCTTCATGCGTATTGTAAGTTTTTTTTTTGGTTGCTCTTTCGGAGCGGAATCTTGTTCGAGTTCCACTTCACACTACTCGAAAAATCACGCAGCAGTAGGTGGGTTCCATGCGCGTGATGAACAGGAGGAGCCTGCATGAAATATATGAGACGGGAAGAGATCCATGTGGAGGAGTCCCAGATGCAACGCAACCCAATCCGAGCTCTGGAATGGATGAATCAGGAACAGTGGTCAGCTTCTTCCTTCATAGAGGCTCGAGCCACTTTCCGAGGAGCAGAATCTTCGGTGTAAACGCGAATTGACCTCGATGTGGATGTTGATCAATTAATTCTTTAATGTGAGCGAGCTTGTTCAGATAGACCTGTGAGTGGTGATAACGACATATTCGAGAACCTGCACGCAATTCCAGGAGTCACACATGAATCTTCAACCCTCATCCTGCAGACAGCTCCTGGCCTATCAACCAAAGGTGAGGAAACTCTTTAGATGCTCGTTCTCAATATCTCAAAAGATGAGCCTACTCCCTCATGTATTAGCTCACTTCACATTTTCCATAGAATTCTTTCCATTCTGTTCGGTTTTTTTCTGTGCATGCAGTATTAATTAAACCAATGTTCTGTGAAGTGCAGGTATCCAGTTCAGTTCTACGTAGTTGACAGTGTTTCATGATCGTTAAACCTACAACATAAGGATTTTCATGTGTAAATGGTGAGATGAAGCATAACATACATGTGCTATCTTACATGAATTTGGTTCACAAACTTGTTGTATTTGAGGTTTCCATTTTTAAAATATGAAATAAATGAAGAAACTCCCGATATTCTGTATTACATGTAAAAGAATCATACATTTATTCTCAATTTTTGTTCCTGTAAACATGTGACCTTGAACATCTTCTTTATAGTATTCTCTATTGCCTAATATACTCCACACTCCGACATTTCATTCGTCACACCGACGACCATCCGAGAAAATGGTTATGAAACGTCCACTCTGCTTGTATTTTGGCGAACTTCCTAGAAATATTACTTGGAACTACCATGCTGGTTCAGGATAGTCATGGACCTCGTTCACAGGAGTTTTGAGCACCAGCGATTATCGTGATATTACATTCACTCTCTCAAAGATACTTGCGTATTATGCCGGCTCAGAAATCGCCATCCACTTGGCCCCCTTTCAGACTCAGAAACGACTTCAGAAGAATCATTTTGGTCCTTGAGGTCTGAGTCTTTCTTACTCTTAGCTGACTGTGTTGGTGTGCTATATGAAGCATCATGAGAAGAGGATTCTCAACACGAGTAAGGCAAGAGATCTTTGCCTCATCCATATGTGAAAACTGGTAAATCACTGATATAATGAGGTAGACTAGGTTCAGCCTATCTGAGAACAGCAAGTGAAAGCCCACATGAATGAAGGTGGGAAAGTCTCTTTACAAGCCGTGCATATGAATGCCAAACGCCGAAGACACAACGTACCCAAGTTGACATATAAGAGATTTGCAGACTGCACTCTATTGTACATCTTCCATCAGAAGGAATCCACGTGATGCTATCATCCGGGACCGCCAACGAAGCCGTTTCCAAACTTTCCACTTCAAAGCCAAAGCATGACATGACACTCAACCCAGACACCAATCACTGGACGGAAACTACAAGTCTCTGGCTGGAACCTGGACTTCTGAACTGGATCCTGTTTACCCTTTACAGACAAGCTGGTTAAAACAAAACTGAACCTTTTTATGTTTGTAGGTTATGTGTAAGACGTGGTATGGAAGCGGTAAGGCACGTTCCTGTCACTTAGAACAACTTAGAGGCCTTCTCCGATTGCAAGGTTAGGATATTCGAGGATCTGAGGAAGATTAACAGGCTCACAGTCTGGGCGCAATATACAGTACCAAGGCATGATTGATTGTGTGGATAAATAAATTAGTCGGCAAAGGAGGTACCTCGTATGCTTATGTTGGAGGCGATTGCGGTGTTAGTGCACGTACACTGTGCCATGCACAATGCATGTAAAATGTGATGGAGTAGGACCTCCTGCATATGTAGCCTTGTCTCTAGAGCTGTTTGTACAGACCAAGATCAATGTTCAGTGCTCAGGTGACATTTGCGTGATGATCATCCTCCATCTTCCATTTGTCTTCATGAATCTCGCTAGGCTTGAGTGACTCGTGCCCATATGTCGAAACGTAAGAGTAATTCGTATTCTCCCCTTGTGATAGGAGAATGAAGTTCTGGAAATGATCAATTATGACCATGACGTAGAGATATGTCTTTATTACTTTGACCATTTAAAGAAAAGGACATGCACGAATATCACCCCAAATAGCAATAGGATTAACCATGGTAATTTGCACGTATGACACTAAAGTGTGTTTCTCGGTTCAAGGTGAAGGCATGGAGGTCTCATAGTGAGATGATCAATTTTTAAAAAAAGAAAAGGAAAAAGGAAAGCTATGGAAGTTGTCAGGATCGTTATGTTATTGAGAAGTACAAGACATTTATCTGCTATTGTCGCAAAAAATGACCATATGATGTCTGAGAATGGGGGTGCTTTGCACGGTGACTTGGTCTGCTGGAATGGTTGTGGGACGTTGTACGATGTGCCATGTCCGGAACTGGGATCTATTAATATTCTTGTAACATCATGCATTTAACAGAAGAATACTGTACTTCATTCGCTTCATGAAGGTACTGGTGAGAAATATCTATGTTCACTGAGTAGCCCAGCTAATCAATTCCAAGTGGTCAACACTGATAGAGAAACGTACAATTTCTTCAGAAAAACAATAGCAGGAAAACAATAAAGCACCGCAGTTTTCGTTTCGAACCAAACAATACAATTCTACAAACAGGTACCCATGCGGGCTAGCCGCATGGGTACCTGTTTGGCTCGATGAATACTTCCCATCCTGATTATACATTTCTCGGTCCCCCACTATATACTCAAATGGTTCCTTCATAACATTCAAATACATGGGTATGATAAGCCAAAATTACCACGAAGTTTCTGCAAGGAGTCTATGAAAGGACACGACGGGACTCACTCTTTCCCACGATGTCATAAGAAAAACTGGAGCCTGGAGAGGCATGGGTCAAAACGGGGTCCGGGGAAGAAGACAAAAAGATCTGACGAAAAGAAGAGCGGTGATGATGACAAATGCGAGCGGTCATTGCACCTCCGAAGGTCTATCGATCTACGAGATAGATAGAAAGAAAGAGATCCTGGAATTTGAGGGCTGATCTGATACGGCTCGAGGAGATGGTGGTCCACAAATCGGTCTCGAGACCGTTGTCTGACCACAACAGCATTGACTTTGGCTTGGACTGAGGAACGTGGCAAACACTTGCGCAGAATGAACGGGGACATGGAAAGAAAAAAAATAGTTGAAAAGGTGGGCCAGAAAAGTGGACTCGCGACAGGTTTTGGCTGATTTGACTTTCGGACCCGAAACGTGACGAATAACGCTCGAACTGTTTTAGGTGCTTAGGGTGCTGTCAACTGCACACGCCACAGAGCCCGTCACGCAGTCTTCAGCTTCTCCGCTTTCGCTGTTCTCGTTGACTATGTCGCCCGGCCCCAGCCCAGCGATCCAGCGGCCAGCCCGCGTAATCCTTATGCGTCCAGCTTGAGATATGTGTCATGTCTGGACTCCATGCATGACCGCGCCGAGGATTTGTGCTCTCTGTGCGTGCACATGGAAACCTAGTTCCTGCTGACGAGACTACGGTGATCACATTCATCACGCGACTCGATGTTCAGTGCGCACGAAGAAATCGACAGTCGATGGGATAAACTTGCACATGTTACATTCTACGATGCAGCATGACGAACGAGATCATTAGCAATTATATACTTGAGGTTGATTCCTATGCACTGAACTAATATTGCACTCGAATATAGACAGCAGTTTCGAGAATGATGTATTACAAGATAGCTAACATCAAAACTTCTGTGGCCTGAATCTATGCTCCATCATAAAAGAGATAATAATTTTCTTCTAAAACAGATGGTGTTTTCGATGTAAAAAAGAAACAGGCAGAATTGGAAAATAAAAGGAAGACATAAATAACTCCATCAAGTCGTTTATGGCTAAGTAAGTAACAAATAAACATGGAGAGATCATATTAAAATGTAGACGGCAAAAATGGAGCTGAATCCATAGAGGCAACCCCGCAATGGTAATTGTATTGATGTACATAGATCAAAGTAAACTAGGTTATAGTTCTTTTATCCCCGACATGGTTCAACGGTTTAGGGTCAAACTCAAACTGACGCGTGGCCAGAGTCTTACAGAGAACTGAAGGTTATCAGGTCATCCCGCTTGCTTGTCGTGGTATGATTGGGCCAGTTTGCTGTTCTCGCTAGATTCAGAGTCTAAGCAGCCGTCATTCGCAGGTCGCTGTCTTTCCTTTCGTTTCTTTTCGCCTCATCTTGTTCGATACTCCCCATACTCCATCTTGTTGGGGTATGAGATCTTGGAGGCTCACGAGGATCTTGCAACTTGGCAGGCTTTCACATTGGGCTCTATTTAGGCTTCCGGTTCCAGATTTGCTCCACATTGTTTACTCAAAACGCTTGGTGTGAAGAGAATAATAATTTGGCTTCCTTTAAGTTCATAGCAAAGGAGAAACAGGGCAATGAAACTGTACGAGAATTTCTTCGTAATGGCACGGTTACCTCGGCCAAGCAAGCAACCACCCTACCAATTCATCCAACTGGTAAAATAACATTTATCATTCTAGACAAGACATGATGAAAGACCTTACATAGTCTTGGAACAACTTTTGGCATTCCGCCCACATCCCCATCCAGTTTTAAGACTTATAGTTAAAAGTTTATACATTGGCAGACATCTATAGCTCGTTAAGGACATCCGCCATCGCTGAATATTCATTCCATACCAATTGTCATTTAAAACCAACAAAACTAGATATCGCACAATAAAACTACGCGAAGTGTGCTAGCCAAACTTCGGCATTGTAGATTACATTCAAAAACAAAGTGTATTACAACCTTCGAAGATGTTTTACCATAAATGTTTTACACATGCAATTTGAGATATGTAGGCTTAAAAGATTTTATCAAAATTTCTTGAATTGAGGTAAACTCAAGTAGCAAGACGTAGTGGAAGATCTTATAGTCACATAAAGTTTATCCGAATGGTCCAAAAGCCTATGTATATCACAATAAAATCAATGACGTACAATGCATGCGATACTCGAATAACTCAGGTTAGGCATTCTTCTTCAGCACATGCATATTATACAGTACTGCTTTTCGTAAATTAATGGATAGATGTTAGCTGAATAAAATATAAACTATGATGTCAAAGATGACGTTGAATAGATAAAAACTCATTTGAAAATGTGTTCAACTCAACCACCAAACATAAGGAACTTCACAACTATAGGAACAATCGGTGATTTCCCCACACATCATACTGGATAAGTTGACTCGTGTAACTTCAAAATTATCCTTCTACAATCCAAACTGGATCATGATGTGAGATTATCATGTAACCATAATATACACAACAAACTTGTGACATGTACTTGTTTCTTTTCCATATATTATAGTACTACGTGTTAAAAAAAACCCCAGCCACATACTTCATATACATCTGAAGACTAGATTTCTTACAACCACAAACTCCGAAGGTAGTCAAGTGTCAAGAATGTTCAAGTGCTTCAAAATAGTAAATGTCATATCAATAAATTTAGGTGTCATACTTTATCCATCAAAGAAGACTATTACTCCATGAGATTGAACAAAATGTTTTGGGTCAAGTTTAAATCTCAAGCGTTTGAGAAGATTCAGAATTAAAAATACTTATCAAACTCTCTCATGATATCCTCTAGTGCTTGGTAGGCATAATGATTTGAGAGAAGGTGAAGTAGCAAAGTGTCAAGTTTAAGGATAAATCAAAGATATCAGAGATTAACAAACATTATCTACACATCGTCTGGTAAAGATGTGCTTCGTTGACTTCAACGGTGTTGTTTCTACGTGACAAATCTAAACGCTATAGCAATTCAAGTTTTGACAAAGTGAATACCTTGTCAAAACCTGAATTATCAAGGTATGAATTATCGATGTGGAGGGTTACGATGCGAGGTACTATTCAAGGGACACCATGTCGTCTACTTGATGAATGCACTGCTTCAGAGGAATTGAATAAGTCCATGATTGCTTCCAAACCAGACGTTTCCTTAAGCCTCTTCTCCTATACTTGAGAATCTGTCAACTACCATGTTTTCGAGTCAAGCCTCATTCCCTCCCAATCAAAACTTGAAATACTCTGCAAATACACATACTCTTGTTTTCAGTGAAGATGATGATTCGAAAGTCCCGTAAAGTAACGTTGATGCAATGCTACAGTTAGATTGCCTATTACTTGTAACGATTTGGCTGCCACTTGTTTCACAAACCTCAAATTCAATAATCTTGGAATCTACCGCTGTTATTGGTGATACGGTCGCTTGGATTGAATTACTCACGAAAGCAAGCCGTGCACAATCGTCAACGCAGTGCTATCCTGCAAAACCGCTGTGGATTGTACGAGAAGAAAAGGTTATCCTGTAAAGTCTCGACAACAATATTGGGACGTACAATACTTCACGTGCATGTCTCTCTCCGTGGCGAATGCGACTATCGGGCATTAGATGTCATAGAATGGTTGACAATGGCGAATGTACATGTAGAACATCAATTTTGTGTGCTAGGACGTCGGTGGCAGGGATAGTCCGTGTGCATTGTGAAAGTGACTTTCCCGAGGAGATCTGCATCTTGAAGTGCATCAGGAAGTGGGTATTAAGTAGAGGCTACAGGTTAGTGATGGACGACAAAAGAGCTAACCATCTGGAAGCAAAAAGTAGAGTTTGCAGCAATGGAAGGGCACACCTGTTGGAGGTTACAGTTAAGGGATCCAAATGATATAATGAACATCATCACTTTGACACGTTACACAGAAATCGCCTTCCTGCGGATATAGGGACGGCCACAACGTGGAAATTCGGAATGTGGCACAAAGATTCTTTTTTCCCCAATTGGCTATTAGAAAAAGCGGTGATAATATCAAGGGGTTCGGTTTCTTTGGTGAGAAAATGACTGTATCTCGCAACAATTCTCCAGGACTTAAATGGGACCTCGAAAGCAAAGCAAACTTACCAACTAAGCATCACTAGTTTCAAGCAGACACAAACATATTTCCTACACCTTCCCACGACGTTGTCAACTGTGGTGAAGGTGTAGGTACAAGTATCCTGTATCGAGTAAAACTTCGGAGGGATATTGATACAGTAAGAAAGCTACTTCACAAATAGCTTTCATAAGCCTTCAGCATTGTGACGCAGACATGTTCTCAGCTAAGTCCAGATGTATTCATGTGTTCAGCAAAAGCTCACACTCACAATTAAATATGCATAGCTGCGAGAGGATATTGCCGTTCCGGATTCAAGGGGCATGCTGCTAAAGTAAATCTACGATCAGATGCATGGGGATGGAATTAGGCATGAGAAAATAACAACAATGATAATATTACACGGTTTTGAAGTCCACGAATCACAACCATACGCATTTGATCGTATCCCAACTGAAGGCTATGTAAAAACAACCTCTTTGTATCCAGAGTTACTGTACCGTGAGAACAAAGTTGAAACTACACCAGCTGCTTCTGATGAGTTGTATATTGATTTATTGTTGTGATAGAGAAGCGAATGTACCATGGAAATGTAGCTGGAGAATTGAATCTAATAACTCACGAGAAATTATTGTGAAGACCACTCATCCACCGTTGGGGTCCCTATACCCACATTTCGCATATCAAAGAGATTTGCTGTGCACAAGTAAATAACGACATCGTCATGTAAGGATAACGATTCATGGGCGAGGGTTTTCCCCGGATAGTGAAAAAAAGACGAAAATGGGAGCGGTCTAAATTTCACAATGAAGAGCTTGCTAACAGATTGCGCGAGTGGGAGAAACGAAAGAGACTAAAAAGGCCGAAAAGTCCGACCATTCATAGTCGCAACCGACGCAACGCAAAAACAAAATCGTTTCAGCTCCAATTGAACCAGTAAAAGCCATGAAAAAAAAGGAGCTTGACTTGCAGGCGTTATACACTTTTCCGACTCAATGCCTTGTTCAAAAGTTCAAAAGTTCATTATAATCAGTTCAGAAATTCCAACAAGCATCAAGAGCCGTACCATCGTGAACTTTGGGGCTTGCGGCCGCGGTAGCATCGGCCAACACCATCACCTTGGGATAGTCCAACGCCAAAGCATCAAATGCTGTCGCCCTAATGCAATTGGGAGTCTGCACCCCTGTGAGTAACAAAAAAATATTAGATTTAACCTTTACGCACAAACTCACTGTCTTCTTGGTGAGGAACCTCAAAGAACGAGAACTGAATCAAAATTACCAAACTGGACTAAAATATGAGAAAAAGTTAACTGAATCGACGTACCCGCGACAACAACCGTAGCAATGCCTAGTCGGCGAAGGATGAGATCCAAGTTAGTAGCAAAGAACGCACTAAATCGGGACTTCACCAGCATGGTCTCCCCAGTCTTGGGTTCTAAGCCATCCACCAATTGACATCCATAAGTACCCTTGACTGTGGGTCCAACTACTCCATCCGGATAAAGATGAGTGCGAAACAGCTCTACATCCCGTCCACTTGCATCATGTTCTCTGACCACCTGTATGAAATAGTACCTTTCAGAAATTGTATGCTTTGCAATCGGTTTTGAGCTTCAGAAACTATTGACTGAGCAGTGGCAAGCACACAACCAGATACTGTCTACGTTGTTTTCTGACTGATGATTCAATCGGGTACGGCACTCTGTAGAGAGCACTAGGCACAGGAGAAGACAACTGAGAGACCCGTGTAACGTGTGACAATATCAACTTAAGTAAGAAGTGCACCAACAAAATGATTCTAAGAAAATGTAAAAACAGGTCCACATTGTCAACGCTGGAAAACGCTGACCGTTTCCTACAGAATGCTACAGAGAGCCATTAAGGACGGGAACCTGACTTCAGAGAAATACGGAAATGACAAATCAAGATGCATCTCAAGGCCAGAGTAGCAGAAACTTCCGAACGATTACGGCAACTTCCATCTAGAAACTAGTTGATGCTGCAAAAACTAAAGGATGGAAGTACCCAAATGACGTGAGCACCCTTCTCACGAGCGATTATCACAGCCTTCTTCACTTCGGCCACAACCGCTTCTCCTCCAGCGACATGCAAAGGACCCCCAGCTTGAATGAAGTCATTCTACAGTGAAAACAGATTAATGGTTACACGGGGTAAGCTCCATATTGACATTCGAACGAGACGAACTAAAAACTGTGACCTGAAAGACCAAAATGAGTACAACTAGGCGCAAAAATTACAATGTATTACGCATATTTGGTGTGAAAATTGGGCATATGACAACGCCGCAAGTGAAGTTCAAATTTCCACCGCACACCTGCATATCCACGATAAGCAACGCCGTATGCTGCCATTCCTCTCCATGCTTGGGAGCATCATTTCCAGCTCCATTATTGGGTGCCATGGTTCACAAACCTACACGCCTCTCTGTTTTTCCTATCTATATACCAACTTCGGCTTCAAACCGCTACTCTCAATGCTTCTGGTAAAATGTCCCTGCAGAGAAGAGATGAGGAACGTGAGCTGTCAATAAAAACGGTACATTCATCAGAAAAGGTTGACACAGAAGATAGTAAAATTAAGCCCAACTATGCTTTGACATCCAACGAACTGCCACACCTTGCTCTTACTAGATCTAACTGTGAAGGCTATGCATTCTATCATCTTTCCTTTGACAAATCGAGAGATAAGGGTGTTAATTGTGTTCGGTAATCTCGAATGAAATACAAACAGCCTCGTTAAGGGAATTGTCCATACACCATACGCCATACTCAACGAAATTGAGCAGATATACTGCCAGAAAACTGAGAAGATACAGAAGCGGGATCAAAAAACCCGCATTGGCTCTTACGAAACGTCAGAGGCAACGGGAAATCTCCCTTCCAGAGAATTACGATAACAGTCACACAGATCACCCATCGCCATCCACGACCTCCGAGAGCTCTGAAACCAGACAGCTCGCCGGCTGAACAGGAGGGAAAGAAAATCAAAGACAGATCATCAACACCATTCGAGAATGAGGCCGATTGCAGGCGAGAGTCCTCACCAGATCAGTGCTCGGATTTCTTGCTCAACTTAGCTCGCATTCCATCCACGAAAAGATAGCCTCCGAAGAGCACGATGGCGATTCCGAGCCCCGGAGTTGCCCGACGCAAGTTGTTATTCAGCATGGGATGCTTGCGGTACGCGTCGGTCTTGGCGAAGAAATCTCCGGTGCCTACCTTGCCCTCCATCGCCTCTCGTCGAAGCACGAGCACACGAGCAAATGTGGAAGCGCTGGAAAGCGAGCGAGCGGACGAGGCGCGGTCGACTGGACGAAAGAAAGAAACCCTCGGGGCTGCCAAAAGCCGAGCCCCCGGGCTCTTGTACGCAGCCCTGTGTCAGGCCCTCGCCCTCCATTCGTTCCGCGGGTTTTCTCCCTTCCCGTCGCGGGCGAACCTAACCCGGCCCTTTGAGCCACTTGCAAGTTTCATTTGTAAAAAAAATTCAATATATAATAACAATATTTTTTCAAACTAAATAAACGATATGATATCAACAATTATATTGATCTGCAAAAACGATGATAAATGCAAAGTTCATCATGTACTGCTAAAAGTATTCATGTAAATTATTTTCAATATTTGTGAAATAAATTGATTATAAACCATATATTTTATATTTATTAATTTACTTTCTGATTCATATACTATCATGTCATTTTCTATCATCTAGTTCACTAATCCATTTCAATTAACATAGCTTAATAAGTGATTAAGCTATTATGCAGATAATTTTTCTCTATTTGAGAGCCAAATTATATTTTAGAATTCATAGGATTGAATTCAATATGCCTTGGAGTCTTTATTAAAGTGCCAAATCAAAGTCTTTATCAAGAATGTTAAACTTGAAATGTATTTGTATAACTTTAGACCTAGCCTTATACAACCCCTTTTGGTCTCATCCATATAGCGCTTTCTCCATTTCTGTGCCTCATCACTTGGCCCTTGTCAAGTACTAACACGACTTCCATGCATATTTATTTGTATAATGGGACAGTTTATACCATGAATGAATGAATGAATGAATGAATAAAACTTCTGAAATATCTTCTCTGTATAGATTCCAACATGCAGTCTGCGAACATTGCACACAGCTGATAAAAAGCTCCCTAGTCGTATAAGCAATAATAACTTGAGACTTAAATTCTTTCTCCCCATGAACATTCTTGATATGTACATCCATTAACCCAACAAAGATTCACAAAGTAAAATCAATCGCTCCAAATTCTTCTGTATTTTTCTTATCTTCTGTACGCTTTATGGTTTTAGACCCCCATTTATGGTTTGATTAGAAGCACTTTCTGTACTTCTGTACGCTTTATGGTTTTAGACCCCCATTTATGGTTTGATTAGAAGCACTTTCTGTAGTCAATCCTCTTGAACAATTGTCCTTAATGTCTGATCTCGGTTGGCAATATCAACACTCTTAGAGATGACTTCGAAACTTTGTTCAGAAAAAGTTGATGTTTAAAGGCATGTCACTACACAGCATACAAAACAACATTAACTGAACAAAAATGAAACGACTGTACATTACACAAACGCAGTGTGAAGTAACAAATATAAATGGATTTAACATATGCACAACGCATAGTATGAACAAATAATTGAAAGACGTATAGGAGGAATTTGCTTTCTCTTCTCTGGCGCAGAGATAAAGGCGTTCTGGAGATGATTGAAGGACATCTGAAGCTTGTGCGGTCATTTGGAAATGCCCAAGAGGTCCAAGGATGTGGTTTCTGAACACAGTACTCATTCTCTTGCTGTGCAGCAAGAGAATGGGTATGTCAACAAGTTGGTCGTAGTTCAAGCACTGTTCTAACTCAGACTGATCAGGTTTACAGCACAATTTCATTGCAAGCAACGACAACCTATTTGCACAACCTGGAGTCTTCTGATTCCACAGCTCAAAGAAGAACCCCAAAGCTGTGGTGATCTGAGTTGAAGGTGCTCTTCCAGACTTGACTGAATCACGCACGGGATATGTCCATGCCACCGGGTTCTGAGAAAAGTTGCATCACTTCGTTCCGAGTATTCAAGCACTCCGTAAACAAATCGATTCGTGCAAGACGGTTTCCATCCTAACCTGACGTGCACTTCCTCATTCAGAAGGAAGTCTATCGAAGGTGATGGCTGCGAAACGGCTCCCTTTGCCTAAACCAAAGAATCAAACTTTCTGTGAAGCATTTGTGAGAATCCAGGTCTTCTCTGGGTCTAATACTGACCGACTAGAATGAAGTAGATTAACGTACGACGTGATGCTTTGAATCCTCGGTGCAATAATATCAAGTGAAACAGATGATCCAGTGTGATATTTTTGCTGTAGATGTAGTGCTCTGGTCTTTTCTTCTGTCAATAGTACTCGTACTTTTCGGGCTGAACCTGAACCTCACGCAGAGTTTGCTCTCCTCGGCAATAGTCTTCGCTGAAACGCTGAGCACTTCCTCCGCGCAGGTCCTGATCTGCTGAGTTTAAATTCAAGTTGTCACCGACGTCTTCGGCTTCCGAAGGTGCACTTGATGTATGCTCGGGATGTTTGCTTCACTTGATTGAAGAAGTAGCAAGAGATACATCTCTTGATTACACATACACAGATGAGCATAATCTGGAAGCGTATGTCTGAACACCACTTTGAAAAATTCAAGGTCTACTACGCTCACTCGCTGAACCTGTGACAGGATTTGGATTTGAGAGCTTCCTGTTCCAGACAGTTTTGCTGGAAGCAGACCTTCAGAAAAACGGATGAATATCTCCTCAGGAACGAGTTAGTTTGGTGATGAATGAGTTCAGCTCAGATGCATCCTGCGCAGCTGCATCGCTGATATGGCTGCTGCAGATGTTGCCCAAGCCGGTCGTCATGGGTGCAGCATGAGCGTGAAATATGTACCGAGCAGCTTAGCCGAATGTCGATGCTGACCAGCGTTTCCACGTAAGTTGTCGCCAGATCTAGAACTTCCACATCGATGCTGTCAGTGATATCCCCGAGGTTCCAATCCCCAAGCGAGTATTGATGCCATGGCTCTGCCACATCCACCTCGTCCTGGTTTCGATGGCTCGCTGCGAAACCTGGGCCCTTGAGAGCACGGCTTTGTTAAGTTCAAGACTCTTCTCAACATCGAGAATTGTAGAAACGCGTAATCTCTTTTCCTACTCTGTGTCAGCTTTCAGAGTTCCGTGCTGAAAGCATCTGTGCATTTGGTGGATAAAACCAGATCCAACTGACTTCAGCACTCTGAACGCAATTGAATCTGATTTTATCCAGCAAAACCACAGATGCATAGAAATTGGGGCAAGCGGTTTGTGTGGAGTTTCCATGCTTTGCAACCAGATCTGTCAATTGCGTTTCGCAGCCAGGCAATGTCAGACGAGTCGCTGGAGATTGCATGAAACATTTGGGATTTTCTGGATACAACAATCATTGCAGCGAAACGGACAAAGTAAAACTACTGTTCAAATACCAATCAATGAAACCTAACAATTTATAGATCTGATTGAAATCCGTTCGCAGAACATCTAAGCGAATGTTACCCTGGGTGTTCGGTATTCGGCCTCGACCCATCTCTTCAGGTGGCCGAGAAAAGTAGCTGGACGCCTCGACTTCAATCTGGATCACACTCGGGTCAGAATCAAGAGCGACTCCCCGAACGACGTCGGCGTCCTCCACTCGAGCTGACGCGAAGCTCTGGACATGATTCGATCCCTCCTCCCTCCCCGCTCCATCTCTCCCTCCCTCCCTCCCAGCGTCATCATCGACAGCCGGACGGGCTGACTGGACAGATGACTCGAAAGCTGACAGGACTCACCGGTCGCTTTTGCGGACGGTTGATGGCAGATTCTGAGTCCGTCGGGAAGTCCGCGTTCGGTTTGGCGCGAGGGGGATTAGCGACGGGAGTGCCGCCCCGCCCGGCCCTGACGCTTCGGCGGTGCTTAACCGAATCGGGGCGTCGAACGAACGGTGTGAACGGGTTGCGATTGGGTGGGCAAGGAGTGGCAAGCGAGACGAGGCCTCGGATTCTCTTCGCGGGTCAGAGCCTCGAGAGCGGCTCGTCGTCGCGGCGAGTGTCGACCGACCGACCTCTCGCTCGCTCTTCTCGACGTGTGCATCGACCTCTCGCATGGTGGCGACGCGAGCGGTTAGACGTCGAATCCCAGAGGCCAGACGCCGCAGCCTCCGTGTCCCTGGAGGCGGAATGCCAACACTCTGTATCTCAGTTCTTCACCGGCTTCATCAGCAGCAGCAGCCGACGCGAAGCAGTTTGCCTCCCGACTGCGACTCGGGGATTCTTCCCTCGTGACGATGGGAGGAATCTCGTACGAGAGCCGAGCGCAGAGTGTTCTGCAGCAGGAGGAGGAGGCGCAGGCGCAGGCGCAACAGCGAGCCGTCCTTCGCCGTGATGCCAAATCGTCAGCAACTTGGGCCAATTCGGCGTCCGCTTTCCACCATCCGCTTCCCAGCGCTGGCACGCTAGGGCGGTAGCAGGAGTGATAGAGGAATTCAGCATCTCGACCGATGTTTCGAATTGGACTCGAGGAAGTCAGAGAGGAGGCGCTGGTTTTCATTTCACGATGGGATCTCCGGATTTTCAACCGACATTCTCGCCTTCACAGATTCCTTCGCTGCTGAATCAGGGTAGAAATTAGGGGATTTCTCTCGCACCTCGGGCTGTTGTCGACGCGCTGCTGCTGCTGCAACCATGACGGACAGATTCGACCGATCGGTCCGAAGGACCGGAAGTTCGCCCATGGCGGTGAGATCGTACGCTGTGGCGGCCAAGCGACAGAACCAGCCCATGAAGGGTTTATCGACGACGACGACAAGTCCAGCCGGGGCCAGCACTCCGGCCTCGGTGGCTTCCTCGTACAAGAGGCTGGCGGGGGCGATCGTCGACTCAGCTCCGCTGAAGCGCATGTCTGCAGCATCGCAACACTCTCCGACATTCAGCCTGCCATCTCCCGAGGGAGGCAACTGCGAGCTCAAAACATTCGTCTACGATCCAGCCACCGACCAACGAGGCCGCAGCATTGCGGTGGCCGAGCGAGTGCCTATAGGCGAGACTCTGGTGACGGACATCGTGTACCCTCGACCGCCTCCCGACGATTCCGACAAGGAGAAGCCAGAAATGCGGCCCATGACTCCCTCGGAGCTCGGCCGAGAGTGGAGACGTCGCCTCGAAGCTTCCTGGAAGTTGTACCCTCGAAACATGTGGGGCCCTGTGACCAAGTGGGGATGCCTCGTCAACCAGCCGCTCACGATGTCTCAAAAGGATCATTTCAAAGGCCAACATGTAAGTAGACTGCACTCGTCGTGGCTCGGCCTCGCTCCTGCCTTCTTTCCAAATTCATCGTTTCGGATCTGAACCTCGTCGGACCGCACAGGAATCTTTGCACTCGCTCATGTTCGGTATTTCAGCTCGTCCAGTTGCCCACCTAGAAGTTCAATGGCGATGAACGTGTCCTTCCAATCAAGTCCTGCGCTAATCTGTGCGCCTTAGGCCGAAGATATATAAACTAGTGTCACTTCAGCTTTGAGGCACTTGATTAATCTTACAACCAGCTTAAGCCTTTATCAGTGACGTCCACTTCTGCCACCACTGCGCTCGGAAGGCAAGCATCTACTCTACGTACTGTCTGTGCGATGGACGTCCTTCAGTTTTCTGGCATTCGACATCAGATGCAGAAATGTTCTGGGTGCCGGAATTGCAAGATGAATTCTCTGGCTTACCCTGTCGCGCAGGTCATTGTTGTTGGTCACGGTATTCTTGCAGGATAAGTTACAGAAGCAGAGGCTGGAAGCCAGAAAGTTTGGATTTGAAAGGCACTGGGTCAAGTACAAGAACCTGACCAACATGTGGGAGGATCGAGAGGCCCGCCAGAGTCTCGCGTACATTGATCCCCGAGATCAGTTCAAGAAAGACGCTGAGCGGATGCTGCACGCCCAGAACGACCAGCGCATCGCCAGAACTAAGGTCTGAGGAGGCTGACAGATAAATTCTCTTCACTCAAGCTCTTGCTCCGCTGCTGGCACCCAGTTTGAGAAACGCAGATGCTTTCTGTAGGTAACTCTGCGAACGTGTGAGTGTGAGTAGTGAGTGTGAGCTTCTTCAGCCCATCGAGTGGTTTTTCTTTCTCAAAGAAAGGCTGTGAAGAAAGTCAACGAGCTTTTGACATATTGTGTGGATCCAGTCAGTGAAATCTAAAAAAAATTTGCTGCTGGACACGAGATGACATCAGCAGTACCTTGGTCTAATTATTTGATTCTAACCATGCAGCGGGTTGACGAGAAACACAGAAACGTGAAGAGGTGGAGAGAGTTCAACAGACTAGAGAAAAGAGAGGATGAGTATTTGAGGAGAATAGATAACGAAGCCATGCTTCGCAAGGATCCTGGATGGCGTGTGAACTTCAGTAGCGTCAATTACGACATTGTAACGCTTGGCTACACCGAAGGTCATGACGGAGACAAGCTGAAGTACCAAGATCTCATGTTCAAGTAAGGCTTCTAGTCAATCATGGAGCATATAAAACAAATCTCCTGGCAGATGGACACAAGTATATTTCACGTTTAACCGTGAGGCGCCTCCGGTAGTAGGCTGCTCTTGCTTCCGTATCCTGTACCATTCTTTGCACAAATACCAATAGCCACAAAGGAAATTATCTCCATAAGTAATACGTGAACATCCAAGTTTCTTGGTTTTACACACAAAGCAATGCAAATATCCCAAGGCCTAAAAACCGCACTCATGAGCTCAGATCGGAAGAAAGGACCGTAGGACCACGTGAGAAATTCCGAGCATCTAAGTGGACAACGTGGTGTACTGGCTGCAGGTGGCGCCAGTCAATGCGGGCACTTAGATTACAGAGCAAACAGAGCGGATGCCGGATGTACGATGTGGTAACATGGAAACCACAGAGGCCTTGTCGCCTGCCTGCACCAAAACCAGAGCTGCCAGTTACACCGACTGCGGAAAGACTTCCTTCTCCTAAAAAACCAGAGATGGCAAGACCAAGGAACATGCTCCATAGCATGTACAAGCTCGAAGATGTACCAATAGGATGCACAAATGACAACAGAACGAATTGGTAAAACCTTCAGAGTACGGGACTTTCAAACATGCAGAGTGATATGAGTTTTTTCACATTTGTTGAGTAAACCTTTTGTGCCAGTCTTCAACAAAAGACATCACGAGTCATGCCTTCTGTTCTGTGTGCCTTTTCTTTTAAAGAGGGACGTCTCTCTTTGGAAGAAATTTTGTCCTGTATCTCAGTAACACTTTTACACACTGGTCACAATTCATCAACATATGTTTACAGTTTTGATAAGAGATAGCTCTACTACACGTCACCAACTAACAGATCCCGGCTTAGGGTTTAAACTTTAGGGTGATCTGCACTTGACAAACCAAGTATTACACAAATTGTAGGAACGATTCAAAGTATGAAAATCGGACAAGTTCTATCTATACCTCTAGGTGAGACAAAACGAGCTCTGACAAGATATTGAAGCAAGTAATTGTCTGATATGAATATTCCAACCTCCCCGATCTTGAAGATGCACCAAAATCACTCAGTGGTTGCAATCCTCCTATTCCCTGAAACCACAAGGGAGACTTATCACCAACTACCTTTTTGAACCGTAAGCTCAATCTAAAGCACAAGCAACAAGATCGAAACACGTATGAGGGACAATCCAAGGTTTGTGTATATATCACTACTTTTAAATAAAATATTCACAAGGGCCAAGACTGCTGTACATCGACATCATACCTGTAAGTCAAGAAAGGGACGATAGGGTAAGGAAACTCTACTCTCAGGGTCTAGTCGGTAGTCTCTCGGCAAGAGATAACACAAACCTTCTTCTGCGAGTTGACATAAGAAGATAACAATGTGGGACCTTGCAGATGCTGTCATAAACTCCAGCACGGTCCTTCGAGCGCCCTGTTCATTTGAGGTCGATACAAATCAACGAATGATCACTTTGACAGCAGAGTACTCTCTCTAATTTTCGGAGTGGTTAGTCTGGAATTGTGACGTTTCTTCAGGATATCGATTGCGTTTGTAACGCACTGCACTGCTGTATACCTTCGACTAGAATGGACGTTTGCTAAAAAAAAATGGGTTGAAAAAACACTTTTGAGTATCTTGAGGTCTTCAGAAATCCGCAGAGTGCTAAGTCCAGAAAGAAATATGTTCGACCGTTTATACCTGATGCTTGAATCTACATACTGTACAACGACATACGTCAATCTTACATAGATCACATATATCTGAAGTCCACCTTTACTCTGATTTAATTACACACGACCCTATTCAATCTACATCAGTGCCACTTCTTGATGAATGGATTGCACCACTTGTGTATCATCAAGCGGCCATCTAACTACTTGGAGGTCAAACGAGACTATGCGGAAACAGAGCACAACAAACATCAAACACGTAACATGAGGAAGACTTTCAAGCGGGAGGAAAAGACTTGCTCAGTCCACGGGAGACAGATCAAACTGAGGATATGTCACCTTGAAGATATGGAAGATAGCAGATCACGCAAGGTAGATGCTCTCCTCCTCCTCCATGACAGAGATTGAGTGCTGTCTACTTAAAGGCGGTTGTGGAGAGCTAAGAACTCCGTCAACATATCTCTGTACTGCCACCCATCTGAGTCTCCATATTGCTCGGCAACAAGAGCTGAGTATCCTTCGTCGTGGTGCCCATTCAACCAAAGCTTCTCATCGATCACTTCACCTCGGTCGAGGAGTATATTATGGAGCAAGCAGCATGCAAAAACTAGACTAGAGAGTTTTGGTGTGTTTGGATTTCGGTTCGCCTTGTAAAGCATTCGCCACACCCCCTTCAGGTAAGCGAAGGCATTGTCGACAACGACTCTAGCAGACTCGTGACGTGCATTGTAAGCCGCCTGCAGCGGCGTCCTTGTGAAATACTCATTGTTCGCAGTAACGAAATCTTGTGGATAAGGAGTAATAAGCCATGGAAGTAAAGGGTGACCGGCACCTCCCAAAACATATTCCGGCATAGTTCGTCCAACTATGAACTTTGCAGGACCGTTCAACCTTTCTCCAGATTCACTCAGCCTGCGCTCGAAGTAGAACATCAAACAATAATCAGAACGATCTTCACATCTTCAATAAGATAACTAAAGACAACTCGCGTCAACCCCAAGTACTGAATGGTCTGTCTGTATGTATGGCAATTACGTAAGATTCGATATAAGGAATGCAAGCAAGTCAAGACCTCGAAAGTATTACCTGTAAAAAGTTGAGTTTTGTAGGACTTCAGCATCTTCATTTGCTCCTGGCCATCCTATACAAACATCGAGAAAGCGCATATTCGTGTCTACTATGGCTTGAGAAACCATGCTGATGTTTCCAACCCGGTCCATCCACTGTACAGAAGACTCTTCTGGTGGGAAAAGGATCCGGATATGGGTCAATCCAACAACACCACAACAATTCGGGAGCCCGGTCAGGTCTTCGAACGAGGCCTTCACTCGTTCCATCTGCTCACCCTCTGGCCACTTGAGATGGTGGCGGGCACGCTCCACAATGGCTTTGATAAACCTCCAGGTGACTTTTGAGACGGTGGCATTTCCAACACCGAAAAGCTCGCCCACCGTTGACACAGGATCTCCAGAGCTCAGCCTCCGAAGTGCTACGGCCACCTGCTTCTCGACCGTGATTTCGCGCCCCTTAATGTGGGAAAAATTGGAAGGATTCTTAAAAGTCTCCATGTCTGCACGTACCAGGCCACAAATGTAATCGAAGGTGGGCTTCGAAACCCTAAACAGAGTCTTCCACTTCTCGGGCTCCTCATTCTCGGGTTGACTGACGAACACATCCCACCACTGAGTCGATCGGGGTTTTATGTACCAAAGCTGAGGACTAGTCGACCCGAACAGATCCTCGCTCGTGATCCCTCCAGCGCACATCACAGCTAGAAACTGCGCATTCATGTTCGCAGCTAAAAGGCTCGGAGGATAATCATCATCTTCCGATCCATTTCCTGTGTCCCCCATTCCCCCGGCTCCGGCGAACTGCTGCATGGCGACATTGAGAGCCACTGTCGAAGCAGCGCAGGCTCCCATCAGAGCTGCGCCCTGCATTGCGGCCAGCTTCGTCCACTCTCCTCCCTCCTCCTCCTCCTCCTCCCTCCCTCCCCTCAACTACGCACACACTCCCAAGCATCGCCTGCTCATCCAACCGGCTTCCATTTCCCCGACACCAACAAATTCCAGAAGAGAGCTCGGAATCCGAAACCAAGACATCCACCTCCTTCAATCAATCAATCAATCAATCGGTCGATCAATCAATCAATACACGCGGACAGAACACAAGCCTCCCACCACTGGGAAAGAGAATTGACACGACCGAATTCGAGGACTTGTCGCAGTTTCTTTCTTCGGACATCGTCAGCTGTGCACGACTCCGAGTCCTGTCGGAGGCAAGTCCGGCATGCGGTCCCTGCTGCAGACGGACGTCGGGGGCCCAGGACCCATCCATCCATCCATCCATCGACTCTCCGCCGCCGTCGGTCCGCTGTCAGCGCCTGGACCCGAAGGGCAAGGAAGAGAGAAGCGAGGACATCATTTCACAATTTCACAAGTGGGTCCCACCTGATGGAACAAGGCGGACGTTGTGAGTGAGTGATTTCTTCTGCTCTTTACATATCCAGACATACCCAAACATTCTACGCATTAGCAGCATGTCATTGCATCGATTGCATCACCTTGTGTCGTGTATGGAAATATGTACTAGTTGACTAGAGTAAAGTGCGAAATTTAGTAATATGTTTGAAAATCTCGTATTAGAATTTCAACTTGGATGATGAGCATCAGTGATAGCTGATGGCAACCTTTCAGACCTGAAGATGATCAGATGTTTCGTCGCCCTTCATCTGAGATTTTGTATTTGATCCTTAAGTTGTGCTGATTTTCTGAGATAATTCTTAACATTAATTAGAAAACATCCAGTTTGAGACAACTATATGTTTTAGATTTTTTTCCCGACCGATTTCAAACTTTAAAACCTTTTCCAGGTAGATGTGATGTGATACTTAACTAGTAGATAATTTTCCAAAAGAACCTGAACGTTTTCAAAGATAAATAAGTATGTCGTAAATACTACATGTTACTCGCAATATTTCATGGATAGTTGGGATTTATTGAAGATCTCGAAATGAAATTAACTAGTCTCATCTTCTCTTTCTTTTATTTGTCAAATGAAACTCTATCTTTCTCTTTGACCACGAGTTCCTACAATTTTTGACATCATATAATAAACTTCTCGAACTCATAAAATAATTTGATGGATTTGACTGTTCTCTTATTACCTGAATACAGTTCTGCATTCATCAACAGTTGATGATCCACCAATTAAGAAGCAAATTTTAATATTTTTTCTGCAAATTTTATACAAAAATTAACCATTTTCATTAAAAATGTACCAGTAGAATTCACAGATTTTCATCTTATATATTTTTTAATTCTTAATTATGAGTTGATGGAAATGAGTTCTTTCTCCTCTCACTCACTCATTCACTCACTCGCATTTTGTTAGCAGTGCATATAGCTAAACATAAAGTCCGCATAGATATCTTCTGTACATTTTGAACCTTGACAACATATAATCATAAGCCTCACATTTCCACATCTGCGAAAGATAAAAAATGATATTATTTATATTATCTCTAGCTATCTAAGTTACTTAGAGGCCCCGAATTATCAAGATATAAGGGCAAGGAAGAAGCTTTGAACAAGAAATACCGATGCCAAAAATATGAACAAAATATGGAAAAATATTTGCCAAAGAAAGAGGAGTAGGAAAGAGTCGGATGATTTCCCCGTAAATTTTGCTATCGCTCATACCGATAAATCGATTTCTCTTAATGCAAGATTGAGAAGCAATAGAACGATCAGGTATCAAGATTGGTACGACAGTCTACATTGATTCGTTCCGCTAACATGGCAATAATTATGAAAGAAAAATCGAATTTTATATCCATCCATTACAGAACAACCTAACGTGAGTGATAGGACTGAACAGATGAGAATCATTGTTTCTTGCTTCACTGCAGATATTATTCCATTCTTGCTATTCAAAAGAACTTAGAGGGAAAAAGAGCCTCTGCCTCATCAGACTAGAAAACTTATCCCTTTCGTGTGTTCACACGCTCTGACGTAAGTGGAGGGAACCATAAAGACGCTCCAGGAGAGCGAGTACTCATCATGGGATTCGGTATTTTTTTGCATGCCTTAGGAAGATCAGCATCCTCCTGGTCTAGTATGTTGCAGATCATTCGTCTCATTTAACTGTTTCTGTAGATCATCCACGTGACATATGCATGACCGAGCACGGTATAAAGTCCGAACGTGGTCATCAGAGCAGCTACTCAAATCTGAGATGGGACTTTCGGTGACGGTATGATGTGGTCCCCTTGATCCGGATACTTTACAGTACATCCAGCTGTTAGTCAACGTCCGTCCACCATGCCGTCCTCGCTGACCCATTCATTTTCGTGGAATATTTCGATTAACAAAGTAAGGCTCTTATGAAGCACAGAAATTATTTCTTGTGATACTCAGGTCCAAGTTTGAGTTCCTCGTTCCTCGAGAGCCTTCCCACCAGCAAACGTATGATCAGTTGGATACTCAATCCAATGCTCTTGCGACCTGCCCAGTTGTAGAAGTGTTTCACCTAGTCTCATTAATTTGATTGATATTGATATGTGAAGCTATGGGTGAGGATCTTTCAACAAGAGACTACTGTACTCTGCGACATCGTGTAATAATTCTTCCCAGACTTTAGTGCAGTTTATTGTAGTCATGGTTTCTAATATATTACCGAAAGTATGGACGTCGCCAGACATTAGAGTGCAATCCAGTTTACAAACATCGGGCATCGAGCATCGGGCATCTGATGTTACATACAAATTTTTTGATCTCTGTATATCTTTTCATCTTGATAATTCGTACATGAAATATTGAATAGATCTCTATCACCGCCTAGTCTACTTGATCCGTTTCACAGAATGTTCTCACGGTGTTCTCTTGATATCGATGTATTCCATCCTTGTAGGCTTGATCTTGCTCACATCAGTTCACTCCTGTATGCTCAACTTTTACCCATCCGGCCATTGTGTATACAGTAGTTTACCATCACTGCCAGACAGGCTCTCGCCGTTGTCTCTGTCTGTCGTTGCACGTTGTAGGCGACTTGACGATTGAATCTCAATTCGGTTTTGTTTCGTGGTCGGCTATCGTGAGCTTTGGTCGTTTAGAATAAGACTCGCGAGTAGAAACTGTGCATGTAAACCCTGACTTTATCCTCGAATTTCGTCATGTGCGTCTTGGAAGGACGAGCTTGATTGTCCGGTCTGTACGAGGCGAGATTCTCTCCAATCTTTCACGCTCGAATCTACCCTGCCAGCACTTCACGCGGCGGCAACCCTAGAAACTTAAGGAGTTCGTTGCTCAAGGACTCTGATTCAGCAACTTGGTGAGGTCTTCACTACTGCCATTGGAACGATCGAAGATTTACCTTTCCAAAAGCCACTAGTATGCTTGCTGAAGGTACTTAAATCGCTCAATAGTTTGACCTTGTGGCATATGTCCTACTGTGACAAGAGAACTGAATTATTGACTTAAATGCGCGTGCAAAAGTGAGAGAGATTTGTGGTTGAATGGTTTGCGCTGCTTTGGAGATTGGAAAGCGTTCAGAACGTTTGCTCGAATTACCAAAACAAGTTCCTTTTGAAAAAATGGTAGAGAAGCAACGCGTCCGAGGCCAACAGGTGAAACATACAATATGGTACACTTTCAAAACTCTGACAAGACGGGGATAAGAAGGTACAAAAGCGCCCGGTGTCTTCGTCTTATTTGATGCCCAGCCCACAAGCATATTCGAATAATTCTTCATTTACCGCAGCAAGACCAATATCGTCAGACTCTGACTGAGATAGATTGATTGACCAAGTTGCATGACCAAACCACTAGAAAATGTGGGCTTGAAAAATGGAAACAACACATGACGTAGAGAAACCAGAGCAAAACGCCTGGCATTGTTGATGTTGGTGCAGCTTAGAAACAAATGGCGAAATTTCATACCAGCAACTCTTAAAGTAAGGCCACCTAAGCTGGAAGAGTAAACGGTAAACGCCCAGATGCCTTGCAGATACCTCATCTCTTGATTTCCCTCTGAGAACAAATGAAAAGTAAGACATGGGTTTCTAAAGGCCTTTGCCAGAAGCTAGCTATACATAGAATGTGAAGATGCTCAAATGAATGTCTATCAGTGCCTCCGTTGCCAATAAATATTGGTTACACCTAGAAAATGAATGAGACTAGAATACTCGGATGAACTAACCAGAGCACGTTGAGATTTCGAATGGGTTTTTATGATCCTGATCCAAGAGGCTGATGAGAGCAGAAGGGCAAGTGCATTCGACCTGCCCAACTTGTGTGCATGATGGATGTGCGGACTTGAATGCTGACCTCAACGCTTCAACCTTTCATGAGACCGACTTCTTCATCATCTTGAGAACCTGCGAGACCCTTTTGTACCTTCTCATTCACAAGGGGACGCTTCTCTTTGCCTCCGGGCTTGGATGAGGCATTTCCGTACCAAATCATTCCTACGATCGCCAAAAGCATACCCATTACCACTTGTATGCTCAAGCCTTGCCTTCCAAACAAAAGAAATCCGAGAAAGAGGACAAGAACTGTCTTCATGTGGCCCAAAACTTGGAAGGAGACGGCCGTAAATCTTCCGATGCAAATGAACTGGCTCAAGTTGGTGCCGACCGCGACCACGCAGGAAAGAACGATAAAGAACTGCAGGCAGATAAGTTGAAAATGGGTAAGATTCCGAAGTCAGTCTCCAGAAATGAAGTTTATCCATCACACCGAAAAAACAGCACAAATCAATCAGACCTGCATTACTTTCTTAACATGTGAGTGGCCATTGGAAACTCGACAAACTTGGCAACATTTTTGGCGATCTGATTGTCAATATTTGCTCCAAAATGAATCTATGTCACTAATTACTTACAACTGAAGGGACGCTAAAATCGTAAAGGTCAACTCTTTTCTCGGTTAACCAATAGTCAACAAGGGGTCCCGAGAAAATGAGAGTCGCAGCCTGTACAGGTGCTGTATGGCCTAGGAGGTCAAAAGAACCCAGAGAATATTTCTTCTGCAAGCTGTGGACATACTGCAATATCGCACACCCCAGTTGATAAGTATTTGCACCACAACAAGGTCGTAAGATGTCACAGGTCAACTGCTCTATACTCTGATTCAAGGACAAAGAGATGCATGTGTAGCTTGCATGGATACTTCACAATGCACTAGTACATGCATAGTCAACTCTTGGAAACCACGTGGAGGCAAGTGATAGTGCGCGATATATACTCAAAGGAAAACTGATTGATCTTCAAACTTACATATTGCTGAAGAGCAGTAGACCAAACTGCAATTATGGCAGATATGAAACCCCTAGAGTTGACGCTCACGTCACTAACAGTGCAAATTGCTACACCAGCAAGCACCACAGAGATACTCAGCTTCGTATCCCTGGAATATCGGATCTTGTCAAAGAGGACCTCAAACAAGCATGATACAGGTATCATGCTCAATTTTGCTATCTGCACGACATAAAGTGAAATGTAACCCAATTAGCAGACCCATACGCTTGTCACCAACCCCCGAATACAACCGCGGACTGGACACAGTTGGATCGTGCCGATACAACCACATTTATAATCATTGCAAATAGACTGGAATGGAATCGTTGAAAGGTATCAGGACATATGGAATCATCAGTACCTGCAATTAGTGGTTGATCTTACCTGGTAAAAGCCGACAGAATTCCACATAAGGCTGACATTCATGCCAACAATGGAAAAATTGGCACAAAGAGCAAACTTCGCGAGATCAATAGCTGGCAGATGTGAAGGCTGGATGTAGCCCATACATCTCAGAACGATGGTCATCAAAGTAGTCATGGTAAAGTGAAGCCCAGTGAGAGTTGTAGCTGCAACGACAATGTGACAGAGAGATCAATTAAGGTGTGCAGATAGTAACAGGATTTGTAAAATGCTATTGATCAGACTTAAATCACCTGCTTGATCTGCAACTTCAATGGACGGTGGAGAGGATCTACTATCTCATACAATGAAATGAAGGGAGAGGACAACAAAAAAGTGGTTCTACAATCAACATCGTGTATACCAATAAAGCCACATAATCATGATTAGCAGAGAAGGAGATCGATGTGGACCAAAATGCAAATGCTGCACCTTAACCCCCATTTATATCCATGTCCGTATTGAGAATGAAGCATGTTAGAGCAGTGATCGACGAGAATTCAATTCCGCCAGTCATTCGACAAATCTTTCAGACAACAAGAATATCTGATGCCTAAACGTAGTCCACTTTCAGATCTGCGACAGAACTGAAATCAAAAGAAGGGGATCTACCAGGTAGCATCCCCTTTCACAGAATGATGAAGCTCGGTAAAAAGTACGAAAAGATCGAAATCACTAGTTCACAACGCACTCAAGGCGCTTTCGAGCTTTCTTGAGGCAAAGATAGCGAGGCATTGTGTGTTATTTATCAAGTAAAAGTGAAAAAAACAAATAAACTCCTCCATCAGTGTGGTGCACCACAATGATGCAGATCTGCAAAACTGTTAAATTGCAGAGGACTCGACAAGATACATCGTGCCAACGTTGAGGAAACAAAGCGGCTCTGAACTCGGTCCAAATTTGAATGCCAAGAAGCGTTGAAAAATATAGCAGAGACAGATTAAAAAGTAGATAGGCTGCCTTCACGTGTACAAAGGTAAATAAATACGCACCGAATTTGAACCCGTAGAACGACATCAGCTGCTTGTTGATCATGATAATGCCGACCGACGTGCTCACATTGAAAAGCCATGCTCCCGTATCGAGCACGGCCTTGCGATCCTGTTTGCTGCTTGTGGGAGCCATTTTTGTGCTCCGCTGTACTAGGCTGAAGTGGATGGAAAATTGGGCGCACAGCAGCTACCGGCCTGCTAAGTCCATTCCTAATTTCCCTTGCACGCTTCCCACGCCCGGCTGCTCCTCCACTTCAAGAGAGCCGGGAAGAGAACCGGATTATCTACAAATATTCCAACTGACGGACTCAGTGTCAACGATCAAAGACCAACAGACAGAGCGAGCGCGAGAAACTGAGATTGAGGGAGATGCATCGACTCTAAGAGTCTCAGATCTCACCTCTTCTAACACCAAGGGCTGACACGCAGGACCCGATCGACCGACCAACCGTCCACAGAATTTCCGACAGGCCAGCCAGTCAGAAGATCAGGTCACAAAGAAAGCTCTTCTTCTGCTTCTAAAGCCTCTCTGCACTCAAATTCTCGCACAATTGTGCGTCCCAAGACCAGCGAGCACGCGAGCCAGCCACAGACCCAGCAGACCTAAAACCGACCCCCCTAAAAAAATTACAATGGAGAATTCCTCTCTCTCTCTCTCTCTCTCTCTCTCTCTCTCCCTCTCTCCCTCTCTCACCGAAGCCCAGATCCAATCTAACTCCTCCTCATCATCATCACCAACGCCATCATTAGCATCACCATACCTTCCTCCTCCACCTCACCTTCAGGCACCTCGTCCGATTCATTTAAATACAATGTGACCACGCTCTGAGCCTCACCTCGAATTTTATGCTCAAGCTCCCAAACAACGACATGGCTCGCACTGCCTGCGACGACGAAAAGACTTTCCCCTACCAGCACCACGTACCTGCCTAAAGTGCCGGGAACATGCTCGCACTAGAGGGCAAGAATCCGCTGCTCGGGGCGTCCTCCTCCTCCTCTTCCCCTCCCCTGCCCTCCTCTCGATGCCTCCTCCTCCTCCTCCTCCATCGCCTCTCGCTCTCCCTCGCTCCCTCGTCCTCCATAGCTGCCAGACGACCGCCACAGCAAGAACCATGGGTCCGCGCGCTCTGCATCCAGCGGTTCCGTGCCCCCACCCGGTCACTCCCCACGCTTCCGCAGTCGGGTTGGAGCGAACCACGTCACGGAACTCGCGCTCGGCGGAATGCGACACCGATGCCTTTTCGTTCCCATTTTCGCTCTAGTTTATTGCGGGATTTGAAGTCGGCCCATTTTCGGCCGGGCCCGGATGGCGTCGACTTCGCGCTGGTGCTCGCGCAGGACCTTTTCGGGCGATTTCGGCTCGCCCTCCAGGGAATCCAAGATTCTAGATCGAGATTCCGTCAAAATTTTGCGCCGTATCTGCTACTTACTGTTGGGCGAGAAAAGCTGCCGCCAGGCGCAAGTGGAGAGCATCCGCCGGTTCGGTCGTTCATTCTCTAGCTGCCGGTTTCCGCTCCTCTGAGTCTCTCGATCTGACGGCTCGTCTTGTTCCCGGACCGGCTGCGGTTACCTTGTGCCGTAGGCCGACTCGCGGATACGGCCAGCCAGCCTCCGAGAGATGACCGAGCAATTTTGGTTTGAGTTGTCTTTTCTCCGTCGCTTTTTTATTTCTTTTTTCTTCGCGCTAAACTTGTCATGGTCGAATGTCAGGACGTCCGTATGCACCTCTAACAGTGTGACGTACAAGCCCGGCAATACCCTTCTCGACCGATAGCACACGTCGTCTAGATCGTTGGAACCCTGTTCAATAATTAGCCGCATCGATCTTCACTTTCTAAAATTGGTGCGATGTATTCCACATTGTCCGCCATGTACTTCCTTCTCTACTTTATATAAATATATATATGCTCCAGTCCTACCTTGATATGTAAAATAAACAAAAATTGTTAAGCTCGCGGATAGTCTTTTAATTACGAGATAAAAGTAAAACTCAGGTTAAATATATTATTTTAAACATGTGTTGATACAATATTTCATTTCTTTTCTTAAATATCAAATATACAAGTTTGATATATTTTTTGTATTTTGAAAACCCGTCTTTATAATTCATTTATCAGAAGCAAACAAAATTTGATTAAAAGAAGACTTTATCAAAATTTACACGATTATCCTCAATACCAAAAAATTATTCCAATCTCATTATCAAGTTTCAATATACATTCATAAAGTTGATGCAATATATATAATCTTTTTTAAATGTCAAATCTTTGAATTTTTATAGCATATTCAGGAATGATCTTATTTATAAGATGATAGTCACAATTTCGTGAACAACAACATTTTGTCAGCTTTTTTATTAAATCAAAAAATATTTTCTAAATCATAATTTTGAAAACGTTCTACAATCACATATTCAAAATTCAATATTCAGGAAATAAAACATTTGTATAGAAGATGTTTATCTTTTTTTGAAATAAACATTTGAATTTGAATATTTTTTCAGCCTCAAATTTTTCATGATTGATTTCAAGATTGGAAAAGAAGTTGATGATGGTTTGTGATATATGTGGTTTTTGTAATTGTGACACATCAAATACATGATGTGATTTCATCTGTAACAGAGATTCCAACTTGTATGACATTTCATCGATACTTTTTTATAACACAAAATTTCTAATGAATTTAGATTTATATTTTGATGTTTTAACAAGAGACAAATTTATCTTATATTGTTAATAGATTATCTACTTCACAAATCAATACTCCATGACGAATATCAACATAGTCTTTTTTCAGTCATGAACAATTATCAACTTCAACATTTTTTCAAACTTTTCATTATTTGTTTTAAGTTTTTTTCATGTACGTTATGATTCTATAATTCAATCATTTTGATAAAGCTTTCAAAAGAAAAATAGTTATTGATCAAAACAATCGATAGTTTTGTGAAGCATATTCACGTAGAAGTACAGCAAGTCAAGAAGAAAATTGTTGATTGCTTACAATCAATAAAAGTAACATGCAAAGACTCATTGTATAGAGTTGATCTTTCATATATAATATCAAATTTTGATTATATAAACAGATTTTTTCCTTGTAAAAACATTAAAGTTTAACTCTAGATTCATAATTACTTCTTTGATATAAAAACGTGTTGGTGAAGTGTCATACAAATTGAAATTTTTGTATCATATAAAAAATACATCATGTAATTTATTTGTCACAATTGCAAAAATATGTATCACAGTCAATACAATACATCAACCAATCATTGTCAACTATTTTTCATCTTGATAATTGATCATGAAAAAATTCAAATAGAAAAGATACTCAACAAATAAAATTAAGGTCATAAATATCCCAAATGAATTAGCGATGAGTAAATCTATCATACTATTCAACTTGAAAATAATATAGAATTCTAGCTAATGCATATTTGATAGATTATGAGTTTAAATATAATTGTAACAAGTATGTTACATACTCAAAGAAATTATGTCTGTAATCATCTTTAGTTCATCTCATTAAAAGTAGAGATAACTCAAATTGGAAAAAGATTGAAATTAAAGTGTACTAAGTATTAACGTTATGTCAACAATCTATATGGTTGATATATAAAGAGTATTTTTGTTAATTGACAACATCAATCTATTCGTTTGTTAGTCAAAGATTAAATATCTTAGCTAGTGTGTTGATTGAGACTAACACATTAGTAATTTATTTGATTGTTAGGTATATACATCATGCCATCAATGTACTATGAGGGAATTGTATAGTGAGAGGAAGGTTTTATTTTCTAAATCTTGTTGGGTATGTAAGTGTTATGACAATCATTTAAAGAAGCTCTTGTCATTAAATTTATGTTTCATGTTGAATTGATATACTACTTTAATCCAATGCATAAAAAATATGATTGAATTGTGATCTATTGACTTTTGTGAATGAATGAATGAAATAAACTTTTTACATATTATAAATAATATTTTTATCAAATGAATTAATGATGAACATCACGTATTTTTATTCATGATGATTCACATTAAATGAAAACTTATTCATATGACTTATTTGAACATAAAATCATCTGTATTAATAATTTTATTTTAAATCAAAAATTTAATTATTAAATAAAATCAAAAAAAATTTAAACTTGATCAATAAAAAAAGTTTGATTTTTTATTTATATTTTCATAAAACCTGAAATAAAAACTTATATTTCTTAATGTAAATGTTTTATAATCAAATTATCTTTAAATAAAATTTATATGTGTGATAGAATTTACTTAGAATTAAGTTATTTGAAAATCCATATTTATTTGAAATTTCACTTGTTTATTTTTTGATAGTATGATGTTATAAAATGTGGAAATTTTTACAATACAAGTTTGTTGTCAAAAGTATAAAATGATTCTCTTAATATAATTTGATAAATTTAATATTAAACTCAATAAAATTATCAGAAAAAATCACATGTTTGATTTTTATCAACAATAAGTGATATCATATATCTAAATAATTTCAGTTACATTTAATTAACAATAACAAACATAATCATTCGAAATTTGTCATAATTAAAACATCAATAATATAATTATTTTAAAATAAAAAATATCTATAAATTTTTTGAATGCAATCTATTAATATCTAAATTATTATCTTATTCAGTAGATAATAATCTATAAATTTTATTTATATAGTATAGAATTTTTTTGAAAAAAAATTGGAAGAAACAATATTACTAGAAGTTATCAAAAAAAAGTGTATATTTTTATTTCGAAAATGAAATTAAAAATTAAATATATTTTAAATTTTATGTATTTCTTAGAATATAAGAATAAAGTACTAAAAATTTTATTAAAACAAATTAAAATAATCTGAATTAAATAAATGTTCATATTATTTTATTTGTGAAATTATTACAAAATTTGTGATGATAAGTTTTCAAAGTTAAGCAACAAATTTTAGAGCAAGTATTAGAATCTGCTCATCCACAAAAAAATGAAATTTACAACAAGAAAATATGTAGTTTGAATTTTTGGCTACATTTACTTGAACAATGAAATTTTCACTAAAAGAACATACAATTGTTTGAGGTAAAATGTGTCACTTCTATAGTGTATATGAACCTTCTAACTGAAACCCTAAAATTAATTTTAACTACGGTAACTAAACTTAATTCCATCTCTAACTCGAGTTAATGTAACTTGGTTTTAATTCAAAACTTCAGTTATTACTAATAATAATTGTGATAAATAATTCATTTTCATCAATTTCTTTGCATTTATGATTTTAAAAACTATATTCTGATTTGAAAATATGTATAGTTTACAATTTTGGTTAAATAAATATTAAATGATGTTTTCATTTTTTTCAACTTCATTTGTTCAACATACACTATGTTTCAATAAAGTTGTTGAGTCAACTTTTAACCTAAGAGGAAATATATATCTTGTTTGAAATGTTAAATGTTATCTCCATTACCTTATTTCTAGTAACAACAATTCATGATATTGTCATCTTTATTAAGTAAAATGTTATTTAGACTCATCTTAATACACAAATCTTTTGCTTCATAGGGTTGTTAGTGCATACTAGAAAACAAATTTTAGTAGTTTGATGTTTGCTCTCCACAAACAGCATTGTTATACTGAATATTATAGGTTTGAATTTTCAAGTTGATTTACTTGTTTATATAGATTGTTATGACTTTTTAACTATAAATGTTATATGATTAATTTGTAATACAATAACCTTGTTTTCTAAGAAATACATTCAATATTTGAAAATCAATGCAACAATTCAGTTCTTTCTTATAGTACTGTTCTATTATATATTGATCACAACTAGAATATAATTGAAAAAAAAAGAAATTTTATTATTAGCATCATTTTAAAAAACAAAAAATTACCTGTTTAATTTTTGAAGAATTTTATCACTAAATCAATAAATCTAAATATAAATGGATGAAGAAAAAAATAAGGGAGTGACTAGTACTTCATCATTTAGGGCTAATTAGCCCTCATCCTACCATAAGCTTTTTCCTCATTGGTGTTGTCGGGTTATAGCTCTCATGGGGTGAGTAGCAACTTGGC